TGAGCTTCAAGAGGGTGCCGTTGCGGCGGGCGCCAAGCCCTAGCCTCGTGGAAAGCAGGGTCTTGGCGACACGGCCACCTTTGAGAGAGGGACAAGTGGCTCGGCAATGCAGTAGAGTCCAAGTGTGTGAGTGTTGTGCGGTGCCAGACGATCGCTGCTGAGGCGGCTCCACAACCCGCTCGATTGCGGCGGTGCAGCGCTGGAGAGCGCGCAGAGTCGTCCAGAGCCAAACACCTTGGTGCTGCAACGGCGCGCGACTACGTAGTGGCCGGTCTTGGCTTGGCCGGAGCCCATCCAAAAGACAAAATTGAAATTTCCATCGTTTTGGACTTTGGCCCAGGGTCCTCCAGCCAGCGCCCAGCAGGCCAAGGGCACAACTTTGGCATCAGCCACTGCCAACAAAAGCTGAGCTGCAACCATCGCCCTGCTTGATTGCGGGGCAAAGGCATCCCTACGCCTGGCTACGATCCGATGGCCATGCAGATGTCGGGACGGGCCCGAAACAATCCCTTCACATGGCGTGCCCGACGACCAGAGATTCCCTCGCGACACGACAATCATCCGCCCCTATAGGCGGTGCAACGCAGCAGGCTGAGTTTATGGGTTTGGGGGTTATGGGCTCAGTTGCCTGCCTGTGCCAAGACGCGCGCAGGAGACCTCAGCACCGCCACCTGTGGACGCTGAGCTGCTCCTGCGCCCAGTCAAAGTGGAACGCACTTCTGAGCGTCCAGCCCCTTGCGATCACGAACGATTCGAGATGATCACGATCGAGTGAGCAGCGTAGGAGGCGAGAATGGCAACGCTAGCTAGTCGGAGCAGCTTCAATGACAGAATCAAAACACGCGCTGATATGGCCTGCCGGACGGTTCTTCGACCCACCTAGAATCTGACCCGACTTCGCTCTCGACACGGAAGATGGACGTTGAAGATGCCGCAGGTCCTTGTTCGTCAGCATCATCGTCAGCATCATCGTGATGCTGACTTCATCCTCGTCGCGGATCCTTGGGGCGCATCCATCCACCTTTGCAGAGGCGGAGTCCAGCCTAGTGGTGCCGGTGTCCAAACGTTCCCTCGCCGCTCGCCACTGTTTCCACAGTCCGGCGGCACGGGTCGGAGCTTTTGGTGTGTGTCCGCCTCCGATCCACCGTCAGCGCAATGCAGGACCCCCGATACACACACACCTCTGCCGTGCTCTCATCACGTCCGATTGTGACTGCCAACCGACGATAGCATCTTGTGGGACGAGACAGCTGGCGGCCACCTTACCTAGCACGCTGTTCCTCCCACTCCCAGGAAAAGCCACCGCTTGATGCGCAGTTGGTCAGCACCCCGTTAAATCAGCCCGAATCCACATGAGCGACCGAGTTCGTGAGTCGATCGCCTTGCCAGACTATCACGATCGAAGCACAGAGAAGCAGGGACGAATCGTGGCCTGGATCGAGCGAGGCCTCGAGCGGATTTCTCCAACTGAGCCTTGCCTGCCGCTATCCAGTAGCAGGTCGTCTGCTCTGATATCCGATCTCACATCACAGCAAACCATCCGCAACATAGCCACGGGGCTGGCCTCATCCCACTGGTCACGACCAGTCAGCATAACTGAGCTCGCATCGCTAATCGACACTGGACCACCGCGTGCGAGCGGCAGCGCAAAGCTGATCATCCATCCAGAGCACACGCAAACGCGCACCACATCCAACAAAGATATACAGGGAGTAAAAAGTCGAAATTACCATGGGCTGGGCGTCATAGAGAAAAGACTGCCGCAACGGGCGGGCATATCGGAAATGCTAGAAGTACAGAGGGCAACGCCAGGAACGAAACGACAAGAGAGTAGAGAGTGGGTGACACGATGCCCGTTTAGGCACCGAAACCGTAGAGGGTGCGGCCCTGGCGCTTGAGAGCGTAGACAACGTCGAGCGAGGTGACGGTCTTGCGCTTGGCGTGCTCAGTGTAGGTGACCGAGTCGCGGATGACCGACTCGAGGAAGAGCTTGAGAACACCGCGGGTCTCGTCGTAGATCAGACCCGAGATACGCTTGACACCACCACGACGCGCAAGACGGCGGATAGCGGGCTTGGTGATACCCTGGATGTTGTCTCGCAAGATCTGGTAGAAGAGAATAGTTGCAAAAGATGCGGGGCCAAAGTCAGCGCCATGGTCGAGACGATAAGAAATGCGCCAGCGCCGTGTGAAGACTTACCTTGCGGTGACGCTTGGCACCACCCTTGCCGAGACCCTTGCCGCCCTTTCCTCGTCCGGACATATTGATAAAAGTGTAGTGTGGTTGGTGGTGGGAGGGGAGAGGTGTTGTTGAGCTGTTGAGCGGACTCTTGAAGAGATGAGATGGATGATGATTGGAAAGGGGAATTACGCCGGCTCGGTGGTCTGTATTTGTATGAAAAGTCTGATTGGCCTGGCGGGGATCGGCAAAGGGAGGTCGGCTCCCTGCGCGGCCTCAAGCGGCGGCGGAGGCGCACGCTGCGCGGACACACCCACGTCAGGCGAAGGGCAACAACGGCAGGGGCCAGGGCCACAGACTCTGTGACTGCGCCATCGCACGCGCGGACACGCCGCATCAACGGGCGTTTGACTCGAGACTCTGGTGCTGCCATACCGAGCTGCGGCCAGGCCCACACGGGCAGATAGGCAGAGAAGCAGACAAGGCGGGGCGTGCAGCTGATGCTGCTGCGCAGCCGAAGCCGGGCTCGAAAAAATGACGGGGTTGAGCCCACGGGCGACCTCCAGACGGGAACCAGGATTGGGCTTACGCCGTTCTCTCGCCCCTCTCTGCCACCTGATTTGCACGATTTTCGACGGGTGTGGCGCGCGAGGCCCAATCAATCAAGGCAGTCCGCGAGCAGCGCGCCGATTTGGCCAGCTGGCCTGCTGAGCGCCTCTGCACGGAAAATCAAGGGCGTATCTGAGCTCAGACCGGGCCCCGTGTTGTGGGTCCGAGGGCCGGCTTCGACCTGCATGACGAGTCTAACAGTTTTCTTTCCGCCGCCGCCGCAGAATCATCTGCCTCGCTTGAATGCCGGGCGGCCCTGAATATTTTTCTCGGGCCTGATGCCCGTGTGGAGGCAGCCCGACGCGTGTCAGCTCGAGACATGCGCGCCCAAACTGAAGCTTTTGACATTGACGGGCGCTCCTGTCGCTTTCGTGGCCGCACTGCCGCTGCCCTCAGAATTCAACCGCCTGGCCCGCGAATCACTCCTTTTTCGCGGCGACACACCCGCCCACCGAAATCAAGAAATGGAATTGCGGCTGGAATCAGCAAGCAGGCTGGCGGACCGCTCAATCGTGGATGTGAGATTCAGGTCTTGGCGTGACAAGAAGCCAGTCGGAGAAATAACCCGGGCTCGGATCAATTTTGGATCGCGCACCCTGGGATACGGGAAGGGCACCAAGAAAACTCCGTGCCTTTGATCGCCTTTGATCGCCTTTGCCTGCCCATGAACGCCAAAAACTCCGTGCTCTTCCTTGCACGGTGCAAGCCAGCTACGATCGGAGCCGGACGCCAAGCATGGCGCTACACAAGCTCAACAGAGGACCACGCAAGACGAGACATTCGAATGATGATCTTTGTTGCTGTTCGCCCTGAGAGAACTGGAGCTTCTGCTACTCGAGAAAGAACCTTTTGAATTCTCGTGTTCCTTTGCAAGAGGCGGGAAGCGCAACTTGGGACCAGGCGTCTCGCTCAAAAGCCAGCAACATGCCGGCACTTGAGAAGACGAGGCCGGTTGATGGCCCTGCATTTTGCCGGGTGGGGCCAAGACGACGCGGATTGGCGTTAAGGATGATGATCCGAACACGGTGTTTCCGTGTCGCGTGGCAGCGAGGCAGATCACGGAAATCAAGCGCGAGGGCTCGAATTTCGCCCAGCCTCCACCCCGCAGATTGGGCAACGCGTCTGGAATTGTTAGCTTTTTTGGAAATCGGCGCATGAACTTGGGCAGGGCAGGCAGAGTCGTCAGGGTCCAAGTGCACAATCCCGGTCAGGAATGCGCACGGAGAGTGTGGGTCGGCCTTTTCGCGGCGCAGAAACGAGGTTGATCTCGCCACACCCCCCGTGGCAGCACGAGTTTGCAGGCGCGACGACCATCACATTTCGTCATGCACGTCGGCGTGATTGCGACGGGGACAGCTCCAGTGCCGCGTCACAGTTGGCGCCGAGGCTTCCGCCCCGTGGTTTCTTCCGTGGCTGAGCCCGGCCAGCGCTCCGCTCGGCTCAACAAGCTGACGACGGGCCCAGAGATTTCGCCTGGCGCCTCAGAGCAGCAAGTTGTCAGGGTGCGCGCATGTGTCGGCTCGCTTGGCCAGCTGCAGGCGCAGTCGCAGTCGCAGCCCAAGTCAGAGCGCAGTCGAGTCCCGCCTGCTAGCCGCACTGCTACACTCCGCCGGTCGTGGGCGCCTTGATCCGATTCAAATATAAGGATCCTCCTTGCCCGGCCATCCAGACCTCGTTCCCATCATCTCCACATCTCTCTTCGCCTCGTACACCAGTACCAGCACATCTTCCATCTTCACAATGGCTCGTACCAAGCAGACCGCCCGCAAGTCCACCGGTGGCAAGGTAAGTCCAGTCCAGTCCGCACTCCTCTACGCCGTGCCGCCGTCGCTGACCCTCTGCTATCCCTTGCAACGCACAATAGGCCCCGCGTAAGCAGCTCGCCACCAAGGCCGCCCGCAAGTCGGCCCCCTCGGCCGGTGGTGTCAAGAAGCCCCACCGTTACCGCCCCGGTACCGTCGCTCTCCGTGAGATCCGTCGCTACCAGAAGTCGACTGAGCTGCTCATCCGCAAGCTCCCCTTCCAGCGCCTCGTCCGCGAGATCGCCCAGGACTTCAAGACCGACCTCCGCTTCCAGTCG